TATATATAGAGAGAGAGAGAGAGAGAGAGCGTGCGTTTACAAACTAGTTTTAAAAAAAAATTTTTTTTTAGAAAAAGCATATTGAAACTGTATAGCATGTAAAATGTTTGAAAAATGAATGCCAGTAACTTTAAAAAATAATGACATAGAAACAGCAGGTATTAACACATTGAATTAAACATGAAATAAAAAAATGAGAAAAACTGATATACTATTTTCTTGTAAAATGTAATCCAGTAATCTGTTTTGTTTACAACTTCAACGTACTTACAAAGCATGTGAAATAGTTTGTAATATGCAATGATAAATATTTGAAACTGTATTAAAAATAACAATAAAAATTGTTAGTAAATTTCACAAATAATTACAAAGAAATGGTAAGTAATACTTTTAATTAAATATGAAATTTTGAAGGAAGACTGAAGTAGTGTTTTCTTGTAAAACATACTCTAATCTTTTTGTTTTACGACTTTTAATTTTTACAGTTTACGGTCATCGTTATAATTTTTTTTGTCTTAATAGTGATGATTTGGATGGGAAATGTACTTGATTGTGATTAAAGGCACAATTCATAAAAAAAATAATGGGCCTAAAAATATACAGTGTGAAAAATGTTTTTTCATAGTTTCTTTATAAACATTTGTGTAATGAAAACCAAAGCCAATTTTTCTAGGGACAAAAACAGTTTAAGTTGCTTAAGTTTTTGTTTTTGTGTTTTCAGATAAAGTCTGCAAGCGATTCTGAAGCTCAAAAAGCCAAAACCGCTCGAGGAGTGAAGAAATCGGAGGAGACAGGTGTGTGTTGTAAGGTCAGCTCACCTTCGTTGGGCCAATTATCCAATGGTGGCTGAAGGTTTCCTGCGCATTCAGCCTTTTCAGTGCGCAAAGTAACTTAATTTCAGTTGAATTCTAATCTGACTCCATTTTACCATGACCTTGAATTTAGTTTAGAATGCCAATTATTATTGATCATCGATAGGATAAATTATCTAGACTTATGATTCTTCTCTTTAACACTTTAATCTTATTCAATCTTATAAATGTTATTCCTATAACACGTTGAGTCTCGTACTGGCCGGTATACGAATGTCATACTTACAAACTCGTCAGTCTTGGTAATTAGACAGAGGCGATTGACTAATATTATAGAAGGCCTGTACCTACTTTGCTCATTCTAAAATACATTATTTAGTCCCCATAGATCTGTACACACCTGATTAAGGTAAGACTATATCTAACCAGAGGTCATGACCGTTACCATAGAACCAAGTTGCCTAATTTAACTTCCTCTAATGGTGACTTTATATAATCATGCCGTGGTTTTCCAGTACAGTACAGTAATCAGAGGTTGAGGCTCACCCTATTTAGATTGGTCAACAACACCTCTCTGCTCCACCTAAGATGCGTTTTAGTCTGTTACTAACCTTAGTGTAGATTTGTGGTGTTATGGATTTAACATTATCTACTAGAGTCAATAATCTCAGAGTAAGTGTCGGAATAAAATCAAATGTAACATTTATTATCAGTCAGGTAAATATGTGTTATGACCAGTGTTGGGGGTAACGCATTACAAGTAGCGCGAGTTACGTAATCGGATTACTTTTTTCAAATAACTAGTAAAGTAACGCATTACTTTTTAATTTACAAGAGAATATCCGAGTTACTTTTTCAAATAAGTCACGCAAGTTACTTTTTTTTTCAATTTATTAACTGACAACTCTCCTGTCCCCATGCTGAGAGAAATCAGAAGATGTTACTGTAGTTCTAAAATAAATATGAATATGCATTAATTCATCTCACTCACAAAAAAAAACAACACAGATTCAGTATTCCTCAAAATGAATAAAAAGAATGCAACACAGAATATGACACAAACCTGCAATAATTAAATGTTGAACAACACAAATATCATTTATGTATTTAATCTCATTCTATTAACCAATGTCATTACTTCTGACCTTCGATGATCCAGTATTACATAGTCAATTCAGAGATATCAAATCAAATCAATACTAGACATCAAATTCTCTAAGATAAATCTAAGAGTAAAGGATGCATACCTGACTTAAGAAAAATACATAGTACGACAGGCTCATCTGGCTACAGAAGCACGCTGATCTTTTTGCAGCATTTTCTTAAGTACTTCAGACCAAGACAAACATCCTCCAAATGGAGACAAGAACTAACAATTGGAAATAGTTTTCATTAAGTCCTAGGCGTGAGAGTTTACACCTTTTTGGGGACATTTGGTAATTTGCATGAAGGACACTGGGAAGTGGCACACCCAGTAAGCAAATGATTTCTAATCTCTTAGGATCTGTATTAGCTTTTAGTCTACTTCTTGTAAGATTGAGACCATTTTACCAGTCGACCTGAGACAATTCAAATGATGCCAAACATGACTGAGTATCATTTGCAGACGCGGACTGCTCAGGGCCCCGGGGAATCAGGGGGCCCCATCTGATACTGGCGAAACATAATACTCCAGTGCGTATTTGTGCTCTGGAGAGTGTCAGATGTTCACTCACCACTCAAAACGTCAAGTTTTTGTCAAGTGCTGAGTTCTGCAAGCTCGCGAATCCCCTCATTATAACAATGTGTAGATATGATGTAAAAAGGAGATTCATCGTGCAGTGCAGGCAGCTTCACTGATTAATGGAATGTCGTGGGATTGCCATGAACTGAAGTGAATGACAGCTTTCAGTGATTATTGAGGGAGCGCTGTATAATCCTGTCTGACTGCTTCAGAATGGATATATTAAAGGGCTCATGAACTGAGAAACCAAAATTCCCTTGATCTTTTGACATATAAGAGGTCATTGTACTTTAAAAACATCCTGTAAGTTTCAGAACTCAAAACTGTCATTAGTATAAAATCAGCTTTTATTGAAGCCAATCTGCCAAAACGACAGCTTGTGGAATGTTCTACTCTGTGATGTAATAGTGTGGATAAGCACCGCCTCCGCAGAAGATCAACACCTGCTTCTACATCGCTGCCTGTTTAGCCCCACCCACTGATTCTACATCACTGCCTGTTTAGCCCCACCCACTGATTCTACATCACTGCCTGTTTAGCCCCGCCCACTGATTCTACATCACTGCCTGTTTAGCCCCGCCCACTGATTCTACATCACTGCCTGTTTAGCCCCGCCCACTGATTCTACATCACTGCCTGTTTAGCCCTGCCCACAGATTTGCACATGTAGCCTAGGGTTTATGAGAGAGGCAAATGTGCATGTCTATGTAGAAACAAAACAATAAAGAAGATGCTGTTCACTGTCAAGTTGTGGAAAAACAGTGTTTGTGTTGCCTTCCTTCTGATCCCAACGTTAGGAATTAACTTTTTTTTTTTTAATGAAGTATTTTTAATGAAGATCCAGACCGTGCCAGTAAGAACTCGGTCCTTTGTTCATTTTATTTGACCGTGGATTCGTTTACAAACAAGGCACAATTCAACATTCATTTTCAGAAAGATTTAAACTAAAAGACAATGCTGTGCTGACTATATTGGATCCGACAGTAATGTAGCAACACACAAGTGTGAGTAACTGTTTTCATTATGTGATCACTATTGCTTTCTCTTCTCACAGATCGCTTGATAATAATATGTATTGAGTTTATGCATTTTTGACCTAAATCATAGCAGCTTCCATCTGCTGTATGAGGAATGTACGCTGTCAAATATACACAACTATTAGTCAATCATAGCAGTGGGCGTTTACTTCCGAGTCTACAATCCGCCACGCCTGTTCAAACAGAGCGTTCTGATGAGGGGTTAAAAACAGGACAGAAAATTGCCTATTACTTCTAAATTATGATGTTTTTTGGTGTAAAAATCTTGATAACATAAGTGGACCTCAGAGAACAGTACAAAATAAAACAAAAACAAAGGCAGTTCATGACCCCTTTAACCTCAGAGAATAAATTATCATGTTTTGTGTCATGATTTTATTTGTCTTGATGTTTAAAAAAAAAAAAGCTTGTGTGCTTTTCCTGTGCACACCGGCGTGGACTGCTGCGCGCTCATACAAATGTACGAATGTGATGACTGGAGATTTTTTTTAAATAATAGATTAAATTTTCGATTTGCCGTATGCCTTAAGAACACTTAGAATACGGAATGAGTTGCATGGGATACTTTTATGACATTTGAATCCTTTTTGTCGAAAGATTGAAGGAGGTTACAATTCATTAAATGAAGTGAGATGTAGAAACCAAAGTCTGTATGTTAATACACTGTGTGTGTGTGTGTGTGTGTGTGTATTGTCCGTATCTCAGAAGATCCAAGTGTCTGAGGTTCTTCAAGTCTTACAGTGTGCGTGAATGAGGATGCTTAAAAGTGCTTTCTTAGAAATGCCACCATTCATTTTATATTTTCAGGAAGTGATTTTTCTGAAGCATTTGTGGTTTTCCACAGAGAATCAGCTGAATGAGCTGGAGCAGAGACTGGCTCAGACCGAGAAGATGCTCAACACCATCCTGACACAGCTGGACCCGCTTACCAACTGGTGAGAGCAGACATGCACACGAAAAATGAGAAGTTGAACAGCTGCAAACCTCTTTGTTTTAAATAAATGTGGTTTATTCAGTCATGCAACAATGCACTTGGTTAAAGCACATTCAGAGCCTGATTGATTTGGTTATGCAAAAACAAAAATGGGGTTTGCGACATTGAAATGCACGCTGGTGGCGAGCGGTTCGTTGTTGGCTTTCAGCCGTGTGGCTTTGTTTATTCTGGGTGTTGTTCTGCAGTGTGAAGTCTGTTGCCATGGAGCAGAAGAGCGAGATCATGTCGCAGCTGCAGTGCATTCGGCAGCTAATGAAGAAGAGAGGCATGGAGTGTCCAAACATCAGGATAGAAGGTAAACTCATCTGCTCCCGTACACACGCCCACGCAATTAAGACAGTACCGCGCAAGCATGTTAGTAACACCAGCGCTCAGACTCATGGAAACATGAGTGCCACATACAGTTAACTGTATAAATTAAAGGCTTTTGAAGACATCTGTCTATCTAGCTACTCACACACACAAGTGAAAGCAGAAGTTAGGCAATTTATGAGGACAACAAATCCTTAGATAATATACCTACCTATTATTTATCCATTTTTCGTTAAAATCAGCAATTTGGCAAGTAAAGGCCAGTTCACACCAAGAAAGATAACAATAAAGATATAGAGTCCACACCACAGCTATAACGATAAAGGCACTGAGAAACAAAATAGTTGGAATCACTTCCAGAACGATTTTTTCCAGCTGATGAACGATACAAACTTTGACACCCAATCAGAATCAATCCTGCTGTCACGAGCTGGAGAATTTAAAGCGGCAGACGAGCGTGCGCTTAGAATAAACAGACGATATCGTCCGCTGGTGTGGACGCTAATATTGTTATCTTTATAGTTATCATTTTTGGTGTGAATGGGGCTTTAGAAGTGCAACAAGTCCTAAGATAATATATCTACTGTTTTTAATATATTTTTATTATCTATTTATTTATTATTTTATTTTTGTTTATCCATATTTATCTATTTTAGATTTAATTTAAAATAAGCAATCAGGCAATTAGAAGTTTGCCAAATCCTTAAAATAATATGGCTATTATTTATCCATTTTTATGTATTTTTAATTTTATTTAAATCATTTTCAAAATCAATCATTAAAAAAATAAAAAATCTAATTTGCAGTTAAGCCATTTAGAAGGACAACAAATCCTTAAATAATATATAATCTGTTTATCCATTTTTATTATTTATTGATTTTTATGTATACTTATTTAAATGATATGATTATTTTTGGCATTACAGTACTGAGAATGAGATTTAATATTTAAAACCTAATTGGAGGCTGTAAACAAATCTTTTTGCATTCATGTCAGTGAGTAAGTACTAGTTATGCTGCAGTAATGCAAGTTTTAGTTTACACACAACTAATGCAGATGAGCGCAGTAAAGCAGCTCATTTATCTTTGAAAATATATCGTAAGCAAGTTAGTTGGATACAGTAGCACTAAATCAGCCAACATCATGTAGGTCACGCTGCCATTCACAGCGGTCGAGTTGAACAGCTATGTGTTAATAAATCATGTTAATATGTGATTATGTGCATGTTGGAAACATTTAGATGCCTAAGTGACACTTACTTTGGTATTTTGTATTTTCATACACAGTGCTGTGACATGCACACATTTTTAAGTGACTAGCAACACCGTTCTACTTGTAAGCATGTATTTAAGCATTGTGGTGATGGGTGTTGCAATTCATGGGGTTATTTCTTTTAGAGCCGACATGTGAGCGCAACCTAGACAAACTCATTGAGACTTTGGCCGCAGTCGAGACGCTTCCAGAAACTCAGATGGAATCACAAACACCCACTGAAACGCAGCCACATGATCACCGAGAGCTCAGGCCTGAGTCTGAGGGAGAGGAGGAGGAGGAGGAGGAGGTTCAAATTACATTGCATTGCATTTTGACTGATAAAAAGTGCTAGTCAACTAATCAAGATACAAATAAATAGATGCATAAGTAAAACCATAAAAGTGAGCTGACGAATTCGGTTAGCAAACTAGCTCAACTGTTCAAACCTGTCAAAGGTATTGTACTTTACACTATTTCCCAACACGTTTTCCTTTAGTTTATCTATAACTACAACCACAAACTAGTCACCAGGAATCCTCAAGAGTGTAGTTACTCCTGTGAGCAACAGAGGACGCTACAGTGTAATGAATCAAACCATATAACTTACCTCTCGTCCTATTGTAAAGCTCAGTCCTTGAGCACTCTGTACTATACAAGTAGTTTTTTGCTGTGCTTTTATTTGAGTCTGGCTGGCAGCATGAACATGACATGTGGATTTCATGTGGATTAATGACAGATAGAGAGAAATGCTGTGAGATTTCACCTTCCAGAATGAGTCCATTGGGGCTTTCAGCTTTAATCAAGTGCATTTACACACCTAATGGGATATGCTAACCACATTTGCCCTCGTACCTGGGCCTGTCTCTTTCTGGGAATAGACTTTTAATTAATATGAGTGCGGACGGGGGTTTAATGAGACGCGAGACGGTTTTTCATTATAAGATGTCTTCTGATTATGTGATTGCTGCTAGAATTATTTTACTTCTCGGTGGATCTCTGCTGGTTTTGCTTCAGGAGACAGATTTTGGTGACCAAACGTTAAATGTACAAAGGTAAACACGGTCTTTTACCCTGGTGTTCCATAGGGGGTCACACTTTGATTGACGACAATAACTAAAAGTAAAATTAAAAACGTTTTAAAAAATTGTTACTTGAAAACAAAATAGGCATTAACTGAAAACAACTCTATGTAAAAATAACTTGATGTACTAAAATAAATAAAATTCAAAGAAAAAATAGATGTATAAATTAAAGTATAGATTGATTTATAAAATACTACTAAAAATGACAATTACTAAAATGAAAAACACTGAAAACAAAAATAAAAACTGATTTTAATCAAAACCGTAATAGTAGTTTAATTATACTGAAATAAGAATACAATAATCATAAATTTTTTCTCTCTTTTTTTAATGGAAAGAATGTATTATGTTGTTTCAATAATATTTGTTATATATATATATATATATATATATATATATATAAATTTAAGGGGATATTACACACCATTTGTTTTTATACAAATATTAGAAACGATACAAATATTAGGGGAAAACAATCAGATTTTCAATTAATGCAATTAAAATATTGTAATTATATGCACACACACACACACACGCATGTGTGTGTGTGTGTGTGTGTGTGGGTATCTTTCAATTTCAAACATAATTATTTATATTTTGAATTTGAATGTATATTTAGACATTATCAAAGACTTCATCATGACTGACTTGAATCTTATACCCCCTAAAATGTTTCAATACTTTGTTTTTATTCTTATTTTTTTACGTTAATATACTATGGTGGTCGTATTTTACCACAAATATCAGAAGTTTGATTTAAGAACCATTTAAACTTTTCTAAAATTATGTGTTTATAGTGTCGCAAAAGTGAAAAGTTTCATACCATTCCGATAAAGTAAAAACTGTAATATTTCAAAATGTAACATTTTTCACTCAGTAGAGGGTTGAAATTGGCCTTCATCTTTGTTTTTTCATGAGAACAGACCTGCGCCCCACCAGTGAAGATCCAGTGATCAGAGTCTAAAATAACCACAGACAGTTGTGGGAGGATGGATTACATGTCTAACCTACAGCTGAATCAAGGTCAGTTTGGGATATGTGAGCTCCGTGCTCCCTGAACGCCAAAACTGTGTGGTGCATCAGTGACCAAAATATGCTTTATTTGTGGACGTCAAGGGAAAGAGTCTGAAAAGAAAGGCAATGCACGTTGGTGTCATTTTGCAGTGTTACATTTTTAGACTGTACAGTGAAACTCGAAGATGTAGATGAGTTTGTTTCTTCAGATTTGGAGGCATGTAGCATTCTATCACTTGCTCACCAATGGATCCTCTGCAGTGAATGGGTGCCATCAGAATGAGAGTCCAAACAGCTGATAAAAACATCACAATCCACATCACACCAGTACATTAATTGACGTCTTATCTCTTATGCACCGAGAAAAGAAGTTTATCATTATAGTTATTTGGTATGTCAAGTTACCTCTTCACAATATAATGTAAAGAGTGGTTCAGGAAAGCTAAGCTATTTTGAGAAAAGGTTTTGCAGATGCCTCTTATTTAATTAGATCTTTTGTATCTGGTGCAATGAAATTCAGGCTTTTTAAGTGTGGCTTAAGTGTCTAAAGACTTTGTGGGGCTAGTGTGTATGTTACTTTACAGCAATAAATGTTATATATATTTTTTTATAAGATGATTTTAACTTCAGACCATTGCTTCTGGCCAAAATATGAGTCCCTAATAACGCTTCCTCCAGTGGAAATGTTGTCTCTACCATCAAAATCCACCCACATAATTATTTTTGAACTGTTTTGGGTTGTAAACGGTGCTTGATCTGTGCCAGAGAACTTATTTACTGGAGGATGCATTATTATGGATAGAGGACTCGTATTTTAGCTGATCTGAAGTTAAACGACTTGATTGATTTGTTTCTTACAAACACCGCTTTTGGCTTCTCAAGATGTTAACTGATGGACTGGAGTGGTGTGGATTACTTGTGGATTATTGTGACGTTTTTATCAGCTGTTTGGACTCTCATTCTGACGGCACCCATTCACTGCAGAGCATCCATTGGTGAGCAAGTGATGGAATGCTAGTGTAATGTATCAAATTTTCTGTTTATTTTAGGTTCACTTCCCAGTTCCAAGATCTATGCACTAAATGCATGACTATAGGAAAGTGTTTGGTTTAGTTCTATTCTCAAAGGAAACCTCCATGTTCATGTGTTGCCAAAGCAGCTCACGACATGTTAATTTTAGCTCCGGAGCAAAACACATCAAGCTATGAAGACTATGACTTGTATTCGGAAGTTGCACAGAAATGTGGGATAAAACGTAGTTAAGATTAATCTGAGTGGCTGTAACAGCTTCTCTGTGGCTTTATGAATTATGAATGTCCGTCCCAGTCTTGCTACTATTTTTAATTTCGTTTTTGCAAATAGGATTAAGACGCTGGTGTGTGGGAATGCATGTGCGCCGCATGTGTCTTTAGACATGCAAACGTGTTTCTTCTTCATCTTCAGAGCTGCAACACTGAATGTGACAGTGCTGCTATTTTTGCACTGGGTTTTTCCTCGGGTTTATAACACAGGTGAATCTTTGACACGGTGTGAATGTATTCGCAGAAAGCGAAAGATGAAAACTGCTCTGAAGCTGAGGCCGAAATATCTGGAAGTAACGTGTATTTATTGTAGTAATTTAGTCAATAGTTTGTCATTTAGCTAACAACATTAAATGGGACATAAGTGCAAACTTAACATGACTTATTATATGCTCATTAATCAATTCCTTTGGGATTTGAACCTGCAACCTTTCAGGTCTTTAACTGCTAGGCTACAGCACCGGTTGTGAGCGAATCAGTGGCTGGTTTCTGTTTTTCTGGGAAAGACCCCTGGATACTGTAATGAGCTGGTGTGAGTCAGACATGATGAATCACTCCATTAGGTTCAGTCCGGCGGTGATTCGCTCTCTGCTCTAGATAAACCAAACCCTGTTTTGCACAGTTTAGAAAACACCATCCACCTTTAAATGGGATGTTTCTACTTTGCAGTATTACTCCCTTTGATTACATCCAGTTTCCTCTTAGTATATACATTGCCCATACACTATCCTTTTTATCCACCTTATCTAGCAACCAAAAGTAAGCTGTTTTCCGTGAATGTGCAAGACTTCCGGTTCATTCATAGAAGAATCAATGCGTAACACTATTTGCACTACAAACCAGATTGTTTATAATTAGGACAATACATTAAAATATAATGGATAAGAAATGCCTATTTGCAATATCAACAGCATAACGAGATGTTTTGTGCGGCTAAAAATAACTGAAAGCGAATGACACCGGAAGTCTCGCTCATTCACGTTACAAGTGAACGCCTCCATTATCATCACGTTAAAAATAAGGTTGTGGAATAAATAGGTTGAGTATACATAAAGATTATCCTCTCTTTGTCAGGTGTGTATTTTAGTCAAATATTTATTAAAATATTCCATCACTGAGCGTAGCTTGATGTTAAAGGGGTCATATGATGTTGCTAAAAAGAACAGTATTTGGTGTAATGAAATGTGTTTATGCGGTTTAAGGTTAAAAAAACACATTATTTTCCACATACTGTACATTATTGTTTCTCCTCTATGCCCCGCCTTTCTGAAACGCGTCGATTTTTACAAAGCTCATTGGTCTGAAAAGCGAGGTGTGCTCTGATTGGTCAGCTATCCAGTGCGATATGATTGGCCGAATACCTCAAGCGTGAGACAGAAATGTTACGCTCCTACCATACTGTGATGATGCCCTGTCAGGCCGGAGCGATGATTCAAAAACATGAAAACCCATTATAAACGAGGCATTCGTTGCATCCAGTGGGGACATAATTATGGATTATAATGACTTATACTGTCTTTTTACGTGTTGCGTTGCATCGCGCCGCGTAAACATAAAACCATGTCTGCATTTGTGATCGGAGAAATGACAAACAACAAGAATAAAAGTTACGCCTTCTTTCTTTGCGTGAACATTTGGGCGGCGTTATGCAAATCTTCCCACATAGTGAGGTAGACATGTGGGGGCGTGTTAGGACGAGCCATTTTAGGTAGGCGTGGTTGACTCTTTAACTTTTATAAAGAATATCTCTTTGGATTTGAGACTTTAGTCTTTGCAACTTTACAGATCTTCTTTATGCACCAAGAGCTTGTAACACTCCAAAGAGAAAGGAAAAATTGAAATCGCACCTTTAATTCAGTGAACGCTTTGATTCAGCAAGTTAATTGAGTGATCGATTCATCAGACTGATTCAAACTGTAGCTCGAGCGAACTGAGTTTGTGAACCTCTTTTTTTTCTTTTTCTTTTTTTAATGACTCTTTAAAAGTAGTCGCTCAAAATAGTCATTTGTTCGTGAATGTAATGGTTGCATGTATTTGAATCACTAAAAGAATCTGTTCATTGGAATCATTTATTTGAATCAACAGCTCAATGGCATTTTTCTTGCCAAAATTTCCTTTTAATTTTGCCATATCACAATCAATTTGACCTTCAGATTTGGGTAAAAGGAGTTATTTTGCAATGGGGTTGTAGATTCATCCGCAAATATAACGTAAAGAGCAATCAGTGGTTTGTAGACAAAGAGCAATGGTTTGTAGACATTTACATTTGACAAGCTTTGAATGAATGAATGAATGAATAAATAAAGACTTGGTAGAGGTTTCTAGAACAGCGCGTCTATCATTCTTTATACAGACATCTCCAATTGTTTTTTCACGTCTCAGATTAATTTGTGTAGGCTTTATCATAATTTGGTATGATTAGTTTGGGCAATTATGAGCAGTATTTCCTGTATCTGAACTCTAATTAGGCCCACACATATTTTGCATATGTGTCATTGTTTGGAAAATACAAATCATTACTAGCTAAATAAGAATGAATGATTATTATTTTAATTTTTACATTAAATGTCTGTTTTCAGGCTGTTGATTTTAGGCTTGTGCTACCAGTTTTCTGGCAAACAGTAATTTCATAATATTGAAAAATATGAAGAAGAAAAAAACTATCGAGTCCTATAGGTGATTTCAAAAATGTTTAAACCATAATAAAAGATTAACAAATC